CAATCGACGCTTTAGCAAAAATGACTGAACGCCTTCAGTTGGATTGGGTAAAATCATTAAATGTTGTTGTTTTTTTTTTCAATCTAAAAAGGCCTCTGATGCATTTGATTATCAATCTTTTCTTTAAAATTTAGATCAAATTGGCGTTGAAAGAAACTGTTATCAATGGCTCGAAAGTTATATAACAGACAGGTATCAATGTGTAAAAAGCAGTAACTGCACATCAGATTGGTTAAATTTTTCTACAGGTGTCCCACAAGGGTCTGTTCCTGGCCATCTTATTTTTCGTTTTTATATAAATGACTTGCATCAAGCAGTGTCGAATCCCTGCGTTTTCCTTTTTGCAGAATATAAAAATTTATCCTGTGAAACTGTCAGTTTCAACGAAAATTAACTGGATTTAATGATTATTTCTTACTGGTTATGTTGCAATAACTTGTATCTTGTAAACACCTCGGCGTAATTGTAGATATACAGTTGTCGTTTAACCAGAACACTCAAAAAACTGTAACTAAATTAAAACGCCATTGTGGCGTAATTTCAAAAATGCATAACTTTGTTACCAACATCGAATCTTCTTAAATATTTTTGGGCAAATATGAAACCAATATTACAATTTGGCTTACTTTTTTTATGCAGGAAAAAGTTTTCGTTGTTTATTTAAAATAAAGATTTCACATCGTAAAACAATCAGAATGATTTACTTCACAAAGAAGTATGATAGCATAATGCAATATTTTTTAGATAACAAATTTTTAACACTGCATGAATTTTATGATTAGGAACTCTATGATTGGGAAATTTTCTCACTTCAATAATTTGGTGAAACGTTTTTCATATAATACACAAAATCGAAACAGTCTGCATATTTTACTCCTTTCTGTAAAAACAAGATCAAATTACTGTCGCTAGCCAGCAGAGGTGCAAAATTGATAAACATGATGAGTAATAAGAATTTGTTACCCCCAATAATGAAACAAAAAAACTTAAAATGAAGAATCTTGCTTCGTTCACAAATTTAGTTTCAATTAGTTGTTTTCAGGTTGCAAAAAAAATCTAATTATAATTCAAACCCATTGAATAACTTATACCAGATATCAGTTATAGGGTTGCTGCTCAAAATATGACTTTTCAAATTCTTGTAGTTTTCGAGATATCCGATTTTTATGGTTTTATTGAAAAATTCTTGATACTTAGAATTTGAATTGATTAAACTATGTTAGACAATTACCTTGTCGTTTTTAAATTATGTTTGAGATAGCCTGATGCAATTGACACCCTCTATCATTTGTAAACAAGACTGCTCGTATCACGACGAGTGCTCGTGCAGTCCATTAATGTCTGCGGAAGTTTTTTTTTTCTCAATTTTTGTCAGACTACGCTATCATCTACTTTAATTTAGTCTCAGAGCGTCAATACCTTCCAGATGTTAGATTGGAACTTCGTTCAAAAACAGCCGGTTAAAAATTTGAAATAAAAAACCACACCATGGTCATTTTTTTCGAAAGTTGAAACAATCAAATCGAGCATGCTGAGCGAAATATGGTGATTTAAAAATTGAATTTGCTAGACGAGTGACATGCTAAGCGTTATACTCACAACGAGGAATTAGAAAACCGAAACTAAAAAATTAAGTCGAAAAGGGAGCCGAATGCATACCAAGCTGATGTTAGTCATTTCTATCTTAAAAAATTTGCTTATACAATTTTATGTAGCAGTATGTATATATATGCAAGCATCAACTTAGAGTCGTCGCTAACCAATATTGTCGTCTACAGCTTAAACTATAAACAAGACTGCTCGTATCAGGGCGAAGCCCTGAATGTTCCGACTGCCTTTTAAGGTCTATGGAGCATTTATAACATGAAAAATTTCAATATAATAAAAAAATGAAAAATTTTTTTGAAAAAATTTGAGATTTTATGTATAAACATCCCCCACACGTCATATTAAGTACAAAATGATAAATTTTGCGCCTATTAACAAATCAAATATGGCATATAAGCTTCCTTGAACCAATTTGGAACGATTTCTAAGACGGATTAAATCTCGCTGACACGTTAATAGCTCGAAATTTATCGCGCGTTAATTGTCCCAAATTGGCCAAAATGGCAATCTTTAAACCCCTATAACTTTACAAAAAATAATCTCAGGTGAAATATCTTTTTAAATTTAAGCTCAAGACAACAATTGCTTTCAAATGATATAAAAAGATACCGTCAGAAATGGCTAGTTAAAAAGACAAAATTTGTCTGAAGAAAAAAAACCGACCCCGAGCACAAATATTCCGTTACTTTCGTATTGAAAGTCGGAACAATAAGCTTATCTCTGTGATTATTTTGTGAGAAATTATCACGGTTTTGAAAATGCTCATTTTTCAAAACTCGTATATCTATTGCTCACGATTCACTAGATTCGTTTGAAATAAAGCATGGGCGGGTAATAAGATCGACCGACAAACCATTCTGATTTAAACTGGCTCAATCTAATTTTTTTCCATTCATTACGTTATCCGTTTGCGTTATCCGGTACAAAATAGCTCACTGACTTTGAAAATGCGCGTAAGCTCAAAAAATATATATATATTTTTGAAAATATAACAAGACTGCTCGTATCAGGGCGAAGCCCTGATTGTTCCGACCGTCTTTTAATGTTTAAGGAGCAGTAATAACATTAAAAAAGTAAATGAAATAAAACAAAATGAAAATTTTTTTTTCTAAAATTTGAATTTTTTAATGAAAATCATCCGCCCACACGCCATATTAAGTACAAAAGGATAGATTCCGCTCCTTGTAACAAATCAATAATGGCAAAAATGCTTCTTTCAACCAAATTGGAACGATTTCTCAAACGGATTAACTCTCCGCTAACGCGTTAATAGCGCGAAATATATCGCCCGTTAATTGTCCCAAATTGGCCAAAATGGCAATCTTTAAACCCCCGTTTACGAAAAATTATCACAGGTGAAATGTCTTTTCAAATGTAACTTTCGAATGACTTTCGAATGATATACAAAATTGTCGTCAAAAATGGCTAGTTAAAAAGTCGAAATTTGTCTGAAGAAAAAAAACCGACCCCGAGTACAAATATTCCGTTACTTTCAAATCGAAAGTCGGAACAATAATTATTGTATTTAATTTATTGTATTTTTTTTTGTCAAAAATTGCTCATTTACTTGATATGCAATTGAAATTTTAAAAGCCGAGCCCTGATGCGAGCTATTTTGATGATCCGACCTTGAAAGAAATTGACGGAATACTTGAGATCAGTATGCTTTTTGTTTGTACAAGTTTTCATCTGTTTCTATTTGAATAGCATCTGGAATAGCAGTTCGAATAGCATGTGAACATTTTTGATTTACTAAGCTGCAGTTGAATAAGATATCCTGCCTTTTTGCTACACCAACTTTCAAAAAGTTTTTCAGAGTTTCATAAATCAAAATTTGCAACTGTTATGTGCGTGGCTTCAAGGGTACTCGCAGGATTTAGGGAGGGGGGGGGACGCCCTTTCTCAGGGATTCGATCCCCTACCGATCCAAAGGGTCCCCCCTTTGTACTATTTTGAGATATCAATTTTTGGTAATGGACCCTAAAATTTTTCCAAAGGCGCCCTGGGCGCCAATATATACTAAATTTTGAAATTTTTTGCCCAGAAAATGTGGTCAAGAAAATCAATTTGGTCGACCAAAAAAAGTCGACAAAAAAGTGTCGACATTTTTTTGAAAATTCCCCCCCCCCCTCCCTTGGATTAAATCCTAGATCCGCCCCTGGTCGAAGCTATTTTGTCACTTTTTATTTAAGATAGCGTGTGGGGAAATATTATGATAAAAAAAACGTCGACTTCAAAATTCAAAAACAGTTTTTTCAAAAGTTATCAATTTTCAAACTTATCAGAATTTGTTTGATACACCCTTCACGATAGTTTTTGTTGAACTCACGGTGTTTGAAAGCCAATTTTGCTGACTTACCAACTTTGGATTGTTAAGGAGAGAAATGAATTTCATACCATAAACGAGTAAGCGGTGATTGAATCCCGCTTACAAAATGTACTAAATGGTTTGATGCAATTTTTGGTCTGTTCAGTTTACTGATAGGAGTTAAATAAACCATATCCTACTTTAACTATCGTGTTGAGGAATAAGTTGAGAAAAAAAATCAATTTTTTCCGGCTTTTTCAAAAATATCATCAAATTCATAAACTTTTTAAGCCACCAATTTTAAGTGATGATAATTTTTTTTGCCATTTTCACACAATTGGGCATCTCTGTCTTTTCTATCGATAGAGATTTTCATCGTATTTAAAAAAGTAAAAACTATGACAAAATAATCGAACACCAAGAAAAGATTTAGGCAAACTGCGAGTGATGATGCTGATGATGTGATCAGGGGCGGATTTAGGGGGGGGGGGGGGGGCGGACGCCCTCCCCGCTCAGGGATTCGACCCCCTGCAGACCCAAAGGGTCCCCCCTTTGATACTTTTTAAGAAATCCATTTTTGGCCGACCGACCCTAAACATTTTCTATAGGCGCCTTTGGCGCCAATATATACTAACTTTGAGGAGGAGCGCGCGCCAAAAAAAACGCGATTTTTTTGTCAAAATTTTTCAAAAAGTGCCCAAAAACGGCTTTTTTGACTGTTTTTTCAAAATTTTGCCTGCGGCGCAAAAAATTCGGCCAAAATAGGGACAAAACCGTGCTTTGGGAGAGCTCGAAAAATCAATTTGGTCGACCTAAAAAAAAAAAAAAAGGTCGTCAAAATCTTAGATCCGCCCCTGGATGTGATCATGATGGCAAACAAACAATAGTTCACTTCAGCCAACTTCACTTTCTGGGTCTAAATTATGAATATTCAGGTTCAGCTTCAAGATTTTCTGACTGCTATGGCTTAAGATAGCTTTAGTCTCTCAACCATTGCTTTCTCATTGAAACTCAATATATAATTTTAGCCGTTGTAGTTTGATAGAAGAAAGGTACAAATGTTACTACGGTTTGACTCTAGGCTACCACGTGTTACCACGGTTTGGCTCTATTTGACTTGTACATTTACTCTATTGAACTTATTCATTGTCTGCTGGATGAAACAAACAAGTTAAATTCTGACATGTTATTTATAAAATGTGGCAAGAATTTCCTAAAACCGACGATTACTTCAATCGTATTAGGTTTTTTATTGAAAAAGTTTCGCGCCAATAGCTGTTAGAAATACTAACGGTGAGTAGCAGTGTAAAACTCGATAGAGAGTTCATTTTTTGAGGCGAACAAAAGAAGTTGAAAGAGCCTGTTGTTCGATTAACAATTTTTCTTATTGTTCCAACTCAGAGTGTTTTTTTTTTCTCAACATATATTTGAATCTCTGAAAAACACAAATAATTGTGAAAAATTGAAAATCAAAACGATCTATTGCTGAAAATTGCTCCAAAACAAGACTTCTTTGCGAAACCCAGAACATTTTGTGGAACACGCACACAAATCATATTGTTTGTGCATTGAAAAATTGTGCTTTTGCGGAGTCAGCAACTGTAAACAGAATCTGAATCTGCAAACTGTAAGCTTAATTCGCATTTTGTTTCAGGAATCCAAAAACAAATATAACAAGACTGCTCGTATCAGGGCGAAGCCCTGAATGTTCCGACTGCCTTTAAGGTTTATGGAGCAGCAGTAATAACATTTAAAAAATTAAATGAAATAAAATAAAACGAGTTTTTTTTTTTAATTTGAAATTTTTATGAAAATCATCCCCCCACACGCCATATAAAGTACAAAAGGATAGATTTCGTTCCTTGTAACAAATCAATTATGGCAAATAAACTTCGTTCAACCAATTTGGAACGATTTATAAGACGGATTAAATCTCCGCTTACGCGTTAATAGCGCGAATTATATCGCGCGTTAATTGTCCCAAATTGGTCAAAATGGCAATCTTTAAACCCTCATAACTTTACGAAAAATGATCACAGGTGATATATTTTTTCAAATTTAAGCTCAGGACAACAATACCTTTTGAATGATAAAAAACAATTCCGTCAAAAATGGCTAGTTAAAAAGTCGAAATTTGTCTGAAGAAAAAAAAACCCACCCCGAGCACAAATATTCCGTTACTTTCGTACCGAAAGTCGGAACAACAAGACTGCTCGTATCAGGGCGAAGCCCTGAATGTTCCGACTGCCTTTTAAGGTTTATTGAGCAGCAGTAATACATAAAAAAATTAAATGAAATAAAATAAAATGAAATTTTTTTTTCTAAAATTTGAATTTTTTAAATGAAAATCATCCCCCCACACGCCCTATAAAGCACAAAAAGATAAATTTCATTCCTTGTAACAAATCAATTCTGGCAAATAAGCTTCGTTAAACCAATTTGGAACGATTTATAAGACGGATTAAATCTCGCTTACGCGTTAATAGCGCGAATTATATTGCGCGTTAATTGTCCCAAATTGGTCAAAATGGCCAAAATGGCAATCTTTAAACCCTCATAGCTTTACGAAAAATGATCACAGGTGAAATATCTTTTCAAGTTTAAGCTCAGGACAACAATAACTTTTGAATGATATAAAAAAATTCCGTCAAATATGGCTAGTTAAAAAGTCGAAATTTGTCTGAAGAAAAAAAAACCCATCCCGAGCACAATTATTCCGTTACTTTCGTATCGAAAGTCGGAACAATTATAGTTTTTGTGGGTCACCAGCGAGACTTTCTAACAGTTCAACTTCAATTACTGCCAACTGTCAACTCTCAATACTGTAAAAAACTCAATCTCATTTACTGACAACAATTCAATCCAAGTTAAATTAATCTCAGTCAATGCCAACAACTCAATCTCATTTACTGTCAACAGTTCAATTTGATAAAAATCTACTAACTAATTGTCAAACCCCAAAACAATTTTCACGAGCTAAAATAAACAAATTCATGGGTTATTTATAAATATATTTTTTTATTTTGGCCTTCCTTGTAATCTTTTCAAATTAATTATATGCAAGATTTTATTTTATTCGGAACTTCAAACCAAATAACAAATCGATTTAAGCGATAGGAATTTACAATTAATCCTAAATTAGTTCAAAATGATATCCTAAATTTTTAGAGAATTTTATTCAATAACAATTTGGTCGGAACTAAGAGTTTTAGTCACATAAGTATTACCAAATCACAACCCAACTTCGCTATTCCCAAATGATGATTTTGCATACTCGATATTAAGATTCGTTTCCGAACAAATACCCCAAAAACAGCTGACTGGAATATTTTTGTAATAATGGATATAGCCAGGAGAACTTAGTTAAGTAACAATTCAAGATTTGTTCGTGAACTCATTGACAACTGTTAAGTCCTTGCTTATGAATTCCGCTTTTGCTAGATAATATTTCTAGTTCTGGCTTGAAATCGTTCGTACGCGAGAACTGGTTCATTTCAGTTTAATGAACAAAATTTTTAAAAAATCTCTACAATTTGCAAAATTTGCTTACATTTGCGAATTCTGCTTACAAATTTTGCAGACTCTTTTTTTACCTGTTTCGGAATGAGCTTTTTTTCGGAATCAAGAACAAATAGCCATTTTCGCTTGTTACAAAATCAGCAAAAAACCGATGTGCCGATGAAATTTAGCTTACAGTTTTTCAGGCGCATTTCACGACAATTTTGGAAATCCAACGCGCTCTCATTTTTTCACATGCTTTAAAACTTGTCTCTGGATTCCACAGACCTACAAACACTAATTTGTGCTCCTCTCCAGTGTACAGTTTGGCCTCATATAGAAAAAATGGACTCGAATAAGTTAGGAAAGTGCAAATTGATTGAGCTTTGAAGAAAGAGTTTTTAGACAGTGCGAAATATTCAATCTTGGGATGGTTTTTTTATTCAGTCAATCTCCGACTTGCTATTCAGCATTTTAAACGGTTTTTGTTGTACCTGAGATATATTGTTGTCTTGAGCTCAAAATTATAATATAAAAATTTAGCCTCTTAAAATATTTTCGCCTGTGATCATTTTTTGTGAAATGGGGTTTCTGAAAATTACTTAATTGACCAACTTGGCATAACAAAGGCTCGGTTTATTGCGTTGTTGTAACAAGCGTAGGTGGCAAATTAATGAAATAAAAACTTTTTAAAATTATTTTGTCAATTTTTCATTTAAGTGCTGTTGGAAGAAACATGGCTTAATTTACGAGCAGTCTTGTGTTTAGTTTTGTGTTGTTTTGCATCCACTGAAAGTAATTGGAAGGAAATATTGCGCAGAGTGTAATTTTTGGCCGGAGCACTTTTTTTATTTCTCGTTATTCTTTATTTCTGGTGTCAAACTTGTTCAAAAAAATTCAAAGAAAATTTTTGTTCCAGGTGGTATTTTCTAGACAAATTTCGACTCAAAAAAAGTTTTTTCAAATTTCGACACAAATTTCGACTCAATTGAATTCAAGTATGCTATTTGGTCTATTTAATACTTATAATTTGCAGCTATATATCAACTATATAATTTGCAACTATACTTTATATTTTACATAGCGAGTGTGAGAATGATTTAAAAATAAAGGTCTAATATATTTTTTTGATTTATTTTGGTAAACACTGCTTCATAGACCTTAAAAAATGAGTCGGAAGTTTCAAGATTTTTCCGTGATACGAGCAGTCTTGTTTGAAAAAATAGCAGCACCGTTGGTCGCTATGTAATTGAAGATTATTCACTAGCTATAAAAGACAACTGATTAAAGTCTTAGCCTTCTATGTTTAGCTTAGCTTGTTTTTCTAACTAATTTATCTGAAAAAATTTAGTACTTGCCACAGCCTTCCTTGTATTTTATAAAACAAACTCGATGGCTAGCAGCGTTCTGGAAGTAACACCATCCTAAGATCACCGTTCAAAGTGTTTTTGAACTATTTATTACACTTAGGGAATGCCCCCAACCCATACCACGTCAAGAGTTGCTACTAAAATCAAAGTCACGGGACAAAAAACCACAACTTTTTGATTTCAACCAGCAAAAAACGAAATTTTTATTCATGTTTTTTTTTCTGTACACCTACTGAACATATAGGGTTCAATTTTTGACGCTTGCTTGATAAAACTCTAATTAAACACTCGAATGGAATTAAAATTGAGAAAATTATTTCAAAAACGTAGGTAAAAAAGTATAACTAATTTAAGAGTCGTTCTTGCCGTGGTTAGAAATTGTATCTATGGGCACATATTAGTTTTTTCGGGAGATGGTATACTTGATTTACTACCTATGCCGCCGAAAAACAACATACAACAGATTTGGAAGAGTTACTTGGTCAGTTGTCGAAAAACCATCATTTCTAGTTTGGTGACAAATTAAAATTCTTGGGAGATGTTAAAGTTCTTAGGAGCCAGAAGGTTGATCAAAGCTTGCGCACATCATAGCTGCAACAGTTTTTTGGTGACTTTTTTTGATCGTCAGCGCTAAATTATTGACTCCGGCCAAATAATTTTTTCAATTCTGCTGCATGTTGTTTTCGACTGCATGATACGTATGTCAATTTATCAACTTAACTAAAAAAACTACAATCATTATCTTTGTGTTGTTTGCAAAGATGTTTCCACGGCAAGAACACTTCCAAAATGAGATACTGGCTAGTTCACGCCTTCTAAACAACGTTTCTCAAATTAGGGCCCCTTTAGGTACTTTCGTATAGTTTTCTATAGCAAGTGTCAAAGTTTGATCCCTATATCTTAAATATATGCACTCGTTAAGAGAATAATTGTTTTTTTGCTCGTTAAAATCACAAATTTGTAATTCTCATGTCCCGTAACTGTACTAAACACTCTCAATAGCTTACAACATTGCAAAAATTTGCAACTTCTCTCAGTGACTTTCAATAAAAGATATCAGTTAGAGAGCTGAAAATCCTAAAAGTAGCTCGAAAAAACTGATAAGAATTTTCTTGACTTTAAACTTGGTTGCAGTTGCGATAGTGAAAGTCGGCAAAGAAAAATAGCCAAAAACTGAACACGCTTTAACATTTTAGACTTAAAGAGAAAAAACTGTGCAAAAAGTATCCAGTAGGTAACTTCCCCCTAACCCGAATAGACCAAGTTAGGATCCTTGACCTCAGCGTTCAGTTTATACTGAAGCTTCTATGCGCTGCGTATAAAACAATCGAATCTGATTGGTTGAAATTTCAAACTCAGAACCAAGTTATTACTCTCCTCCCTGAACGATTCTGTACCTTCAGGTTCTTAGAGGATGTCTATTTG